GTTTAGCAAGCAGAGTGACTTGCCAAGGCCACATGGGAACTTGAGGGCTTTTGAGGGCCCTTCTCCCTTCTGGCACTTCTCAGTGAGAGGCCCCTCCCACATCTCAGTCCAAACAGAGAGAGACTGGTGGGGGCTGGCTGAGTGGGGGTGTGGGGGCTGCCCAGGACACCAGAGTCAGGCCTGGGGGAGGCGGCGCTGACGGGGCCTTCCTCAGCTGTGGCATCTTGGACTTTGTGGTGTCTGAGACCAGGATGATGAATCTTGTTTCTTCAGGTCCAATCCAGGATCTGGATTTTGCCAGGGCGTCTTAACTCTCCTTGTAATCTCGTTTTGCAAAAGGACTAACAGTGGCTGACCGTGAGCACTCCCTGATCCCAGGTACCTCCAGCTTCTCACAGACACTTTTCTCATTGGGGCCACCGAGCCCGTCTTACTTGGGCAGCTACAGGTCACCTGCTGGCTCCAGGACCCCCCTGTGCACCTCCACATCTGCCAGCCTTGAATAAGCTTACTGTGGAGGTGGACAAGGCCAGGCCGCAGGTATCAGGGAACTCTCCTTGTCCCTGGTGGAGAAGGAGCAACGGGGGAGGAGAGGCCACAGCGAGACCCATATGAGCACCTCTGCAGTGGCCCTGGGAGGTGGGGACAAGGGGGCAGTTGAGAACAGGTCAAACCTTGTTTACTTTAAAACTCGTTTAGATACATTGGATAATACGGCCTGTTCTATTTCTTTTGCAGGGAGAAAATTCCTCTTTCTTGTAGTGCAAATCCTGCTAAACCCTGTTTGTTTTCTTTCTCATGTTAAAAATAAGGATGGAGAGAGCTCCAGGTCGTCAAACGGCAGAGAGATGGCTCCAGTAGCAGTCCCCAGGGATTTGTCTCTGAATAATGAACTGAAGCCATGCCGTTCGTTTCTTTCCTTTTTTTTTTTTTTTTTTTGAGACAGGGTCTCGCTCTGTGGCCCAGGCTGGAATGCAGTGGCGCCATCTCGGCTCACTGCAACCTTCGTCTCCTGGATTCAAGCAATTCTCCTGCCTCAGCCTCCCGAGTGGCTGGGACCACGGGCGCACGCCACCCCATCAAGCTGATTTTTAAAATTTTTTGTAGCGATTGTCTCACTGTGTTGCTCAGGCTGGTCTCAAACTCCTGAGCTCAAGCAATCCTTCTGCCTCCGCCTCCCAAAGTGCTAGGATTACAGGTGTGAGCCACCACGCCCGGCCTTTTGTTTCTGAAATTCAGGTGCTGTTGCAACAGCTCTTAGAAAAAGAGGGCAGCAGAGCAGGGAGTCTTAGCTGAGGACTCATGGGTGGACGTCGGAACTTCCCGGAACCTTCGGAAATCTTCAGTGTTGAGAGTACACATTCATATGCACGTTTTTTACAGGGGGTTCAGAGCGTTCATCACATTCTCACAAGTTTCTATATCTGCCCCACCCCACCCCACCCCCCAACAAAAAGGGCTAAAAACCAGGGGCAAGCCAGGTGCGGTGGCTCACACCTGTAATCCCAGCACTTTGGGAGGCCAAGGCGGGCAGATTGCCTGAGATTGGGCGTTTGAGACCAGCCTGACCAACATGGAGAAACCTCATCTCTACTAAAAATACAAACTTAGGCGGGCATGGTGGCGTATGCCTGTAATCCCAGCTACTCGGGAGGCTGAGGCAGGAGAATCATTTGAACCCGGGAGGCGGAGGGCGTTAAGAAACTGGCGATCAGGGTTTCCCGGCCTCCACGCTGCTGCCATGCCGAGCTGGTGTTTCTGGGCAGGGCGTGTCCTCTCCTATGCATTGCAGGATGTTGGGCAGCTTCCCTAGTCTTCACCCACTAGATGCCAGGAACATCCCTCCGTCCCAACCAAAAATGTCTCCAGACCTTGCCTGATGTCCCCATGGGGGCCAGAGTCAGCTTCTGGCTTGAGCCGGGCAGCAGCTCAAGTGGTGCTTGGGGAGTGGTGGGGGAGGGGAGACGCCAGGACCATAGTGGTCATTCCCTATCCTTGTTGCAGCATGATGGTCGGGACAGCCTCAGGGGCGTGGGCGCTCTCAGAGTCATGTCGCCCACGCAGACAGGAGCCGGCCTGGGGAGGGTCCCTCAGCTGCAGGGGACCCTGGCTTCCACGAAGTTTGAGGAATTCATGCTGGCACTTCCCAGCTGGCAGGACCTGGGGGCATCCTGATGCAGCTGGGGCCCGGGGTCATGAGTTCACCAAGGTAGCTCAAGGATGGGAAGAAACGGTGGTGGCGGAGGGTCCTCTGGTCGAAGCCTGGGCCTGAGAACCCCGTCATACACTTGGAGGCCAGAGCAAGGGAAACAAGGAACTCGGAGGCTGGTGGCTGTAGGTGAAGGTGGAAGGAAGTTTATTGAAACAGGAAACCCTGACAACCAGGGCTGACCTGGGTATGTGGCACTAGAACTGCTCTCAGCGTTTGGCTGGCAGGCAGGCAGGGCCCTAGCCAAGGACTCCCCACCCTGACCCCGTGTCTCCCTGTGCGGGCGCGCTCTGACTGCAAGCTAGTCAACCAGATGCCTCCAAGAGCTCCAGGACCGGTTTCTGGGGCCATCCCTGGGCTATCTGTCCGGTCGATCAGTCCCACTGTCCAGTACGAGATGGGGCACCAGAATTGAGCCGACATGCTGATTCGAGTGACTCAGATTGTCTGTCTGGCTAGAGACCCCACACACTGAGAAGAGCAGAGCCAGACACCGTTCTGCTTGGTATGTTTTCACATCGCCGTCCTCCCCACAGCCCTAGGAAGTGGAGGTGTCATTATTATGTCATTGTTACCATATTTCAGATGAAAAGACCACAGTGCGGAGGGGCTAGCGAACTCGTCCCAGGCCACATGGTTAGTAAGCTTCAGGGCCTGGACCGAACTCATTTTCAGAACCGTTTGGGCTCTACCACCTTCTGGATGGGGAAGAGGGAAACCCAGAGAGAAGGGGCGAAGCTGCACCCCTAGGAGCCAAGGGACAGTGAGTAGGAGAGGCAGAGCAGGTGGCCTTCAGGATCCATGATCTGGAGGCTGGGAGGACGGAGCAGGTTCTGAGGGAAGAACTGCAGAGGGAGGGGATGATGGGAGGATTGAAGAGATGGGGCTGGAGGAGGAGAAAGAAGTGGGGAGGAGGAGGTTGAGCGAACAAGGATGCAGGTGTTCTGGGTGGGGGCAGGAATAAGTGGAGTGGCCTCAGTTTTCTCTGACCGGGGAGGTTGCGGAGACTGTGAGGCTGACATTAGGGGTCTCAGGACGCGGCTGCTAGACACCAGGGAAAGCCAGCTGGAGCACATGTTGGAGGTGTTTGGAGTTTGCACATGTGATGGTCCACCAGGCTGTAGGCCAGGCTGGGCAGGTCTGCCCCTGCCCCTGGCTCAGGCATCAGTGGGGCAGTGGCAGCTGCAGAAGGGGTCGGGAGTGTGAGAATGTGCTGAGATGAGGTCTGGAAGCAGTGAAGAGAAGATGGGAGGGGGAGGAAGAAGGAAGGCTGGCCAACAGCGCAAAAATGGGTTCTAGACACGGCTCTGGGGAGGTCACGAGGCAGTTGTGGCTGCACAGGTGTGGTGCCCTGTGCTTGGGATGTTACCTGGGTGACCTCACCAACTTAGCTCCATTCTGTGACTCAGAGAGGGGTCCTGCCCCCGTGGTTCTACCAGCGCCTCTGTGCCTGCGGCAAGGCTCTGGGGACGTTGCATGAACAGGAAGCCCTCCTGTAGCTGAGTCCACACCCTGTACCCTCACCCCATTCTCGGGTTGTGGTCAGAGACGGAGTCAGGAGGCCAAGATCTCAGAGGTGGCGTCATCCTGGGAGATGGCCCGTCTAGGGTGTGTCCTGGGCAGCGTGGAGGGCAGGTGATGGACAGGTCATCATGGAGCAGGGGGCAGGATGGAGTCAGTCCTCTGAGCTCACCCAGCTCCACCTCCTCTGATAATGGGGCCCTGAGCCATCTTAGCTTGCCTTGGGGAACCTTGGGTTCACACAGGTCAAGAAGCTTGTCTAGGGTCACCCTGCAAGTTGTCATGATTAGTTGTAGTCACCTTTGAACCCTGGGGTTGAACAGGGCCTCAGAGGGCCGCTTCAGTCAGAGGTTGGGACTTCCCCCTCTTAAGAGCCCCTTTGGGAGGCTGATAGTTCAGGGAGCACCAGTTGGGAAAACCAGCACCCCAGGCTGACTGGTCTCACGGCTCCCTCCGCAGGACCAGGCTAGAACCCTAGGGATCTGTGCCAGGATGGGGAAGGAGTAGAGAATGATTCTGAGGGAGCTCTGAGCGTCCTCTGGTGCTGGCAGTCTGGCGGGGGTCACGGGAGAAATTGCGGCGATATGTGTGGTAGGAAAGACCGACAGCGGCCTCTGTGGGGTGGGGGTGCGGGGTGAGCCTGATGCACTGCAGAACCGAGCAGGCTGCTACTCCTGGCTGTGGGTGTGGGTGCCAAAAGGGTGGACACCAGGGGACTCTGTTGGGAATAAGCTGGCTCCCGTGATGGGGCTCTCGATGTTCTGGGAGGGGAATGAGCCAGGTGGGAAGGGAGTGGTGGAGAGTCCAGAGAGAGTGGGGGAGGGAGGGATGGAGTCAGCTTTGGGTGGTACAAAGAAGACCCCTCAGGATCCCAGATGGGATGGATCGGGGTGGGATGGGGAAGGAGCCTGGGGAGATGGTACAGGCAGGAAGGGAGTAGGGGAAAGACTGAGGTGAGAGGTAGGTGTGGTGATTGAGAGGCAGGAACACTTGGAGCCATCTAGGTGGGACAGTGTTGAGAACTGGGGACCCGGAGCTGGCTCACAGCTGTCAACATGAGGCATCTACCTGCTGGAATGGAGAGGGAAAAGGACGGGAGGCACTCGGCTTCCTATCTTAGGGCCCTGCCTACCGTCTCTGCCTGATAGAGCAGCAGTCCTTCACCTGCCCCTTATTAGAAAAAGCAGTGTGAGCCCGGACACAGGCACAGGGAGGATCCCCACCACCACCACGACGCGCCGCTGGCTGGGCATGAAGAAGGAACATCAGCAACAGCATAACATTATTCGTGGCTTAGACACTGGGAGGTAGGGGTGGATAACCGAGGCCGGGCCTCCGCGAGACAAAAAGATGCAGGGTCACTGCATCTTCAGAGGAGGTCGCGCCGGGGCAGTCAGATTTTGCCGGCGAAAGTCCCGTTCTTGATCTGCTCATTCCAGCTCTCCACCTGGGAAGCAGAAAGGCAGGGAGCGGGACGCCGGCTCAGCCTCAGCCGAGCCCTCCCCACGCCTGGCCCGGCGCCCCCTCTGCCGACTCACCCAGCTGGTGGGGCACAGCGAGTGGTACACGCGGTAATAGTACTCGCAGGGCTGCGTGCTCTTCCCACGGCGGGTCCTGATCTTGAGGCAGCGGTGGTAGTCTGTGGGGGGCGGGGTCACGCGACAAGCCACGCCCATTCCAGGACAGGATCCGCCCTTCCACTACTCGGTCCCTCCCAGTTCTTCCCTGCTTCGCCCCGCCTCCCTCTACCCCCGAGGCCTCCATCCCGCCCCTCCCAGCCATGCCCCAACCCCTACCTCCCTCACACTGCTCCTCCTAGCCAGACCCTGCCCCTACCTACCTCGCCCCACACCTTCCAAATCAGGCCTTGCGCCTACCAACC